GGTGATACTCAGGAGACCAGGGGATCTAACCCAAGTGCCCAGGATCTAATCCAGGTGTTCGGAATCTAGCGCAGGTGCCCAGGATCAAATGCAGGTGCCTGGAATCTAACTGGGGTCAGTTGCATGAGCCTTAGCCTGTACTATCTCTCGAGGCCCTGCTCAGTTTTTGGTTTGGGGGCAACATCTGGAGATGCTTGGAAGTTGCCTCTGGTGCAGGGGGACGCATGCGTGCCAAGGATTAAAACGACCCTTCTGCATACAAAGTCTGCCCCCAGCCCTGGAGTTAGCTCTGACTCTTAAGAAAGGTTCTCTTGGGGGCTGGAGCAATAAATAGCACAGCGGGTAGGGTGTTTGCCTTGCATGCAGCCAACCAGGGTTCGATTCCCAGCATCCCATATGGTCCCCTGAGCACCTCCAGGGGAAATTCCTGAGCGCAGAGCCAGGAGTAGCCCCTGTGCATTGCCGGGTGTGACCCATAAAGCAAAAAAAAAAAAAAAAAAAAAAAAAAGGTTCTCTTGGTTTAGGTTGGGTTTGATTGGGGTTTCTTTGTTTTGTTTTTGGACAAAACTGTATTCAAGGCTTATTCCTGGCTCAAGCTCAGGGGCCTCTCTTGGAAGGGCTCAGGAGACCTTATGTGTATTGGGGATTAGCCTGGTGAGTTGCATGTAAGGCCAGCAATCACCCACCCATCCACCCACCAAGTCTCAGGCCCAGGGGCTCCGAACTAGGTCTGGGGTGGAGCTTAGACTTGGTGGATAGTAAACTTTATGGGTGATGCTTGAGCAACATTAAGGACCTGAGGGTGCATGTAGTGCCAACCCGATTTTTACAGATATGTAAGTTCAAGTGCAGGTTGAGGAACTAGAAAAATAGTTCAGCAGATGAGTCACGTGCCTTGCCCATAGCCAACCCGGGTTCAATCCCTGGCACCCCATGAGCCAGAGCCAGGCTTACTCCTTGAGTACAGCCAGGCATGACCCAAACACCTTCCTCCCCACAGAAGACATGCAAGTAGAAGTGAGAAGGGGCCTGAGTGATAGTCAGCCGGTAGGGCCTTTGCCTTGCTGGGGAGGGCATGGGGAGTACTCACCGAAGACATTGAACCCAGGTTGGCTGTGTGCAAGTCAGGCGCCCTACCTGCTCTGCTACTGCTGGAACCCAGATCTTGTCTGAGCTTCAGGTTCTCCATCTGTCACATGGAACAAACTGCCCTTCCACCTCCCGGGCTGCCTGTGAGGGTTACAACTCCTCCCTGGGTTGTCACCTGCTCCCACATCTTTCGGCTGCTCAGTGGCAGAGTCTGTCACAGAACCCTGCTACTGAACCCCATTCTCACATCAGGACAATGAAGGCCTTTCAGAGGGCTGGAAGGCCTTAGCAGGTAAAGCCAGAGCCCAGAAAGCTTCCCTGATCCCACCCCTGACACCATGTGGTCCCCTGAACACAGCTGGGTGTGGCCTCAAATCAAAAAGCACAAAAACCAAACCATGTCACTCAAGGCAACTCTTGGTGAGAAGAGGGACCCCGAGAGGACACCGTAGCCTCTGGAGAGGGCCCTGAGGATACCCCAGGCCCCTGTGGGGGGAGAGCTAGACTTGGCTTAGGAGTTTCCGGCTCTGCCCTGCCAGGTCTTGCCTTGCCTCTGCGCTAAGCCCAAGGCCGGCTTTTCCCTTTCTGACTGTGGATGTGAGCCGATTGCTAATTTCTTCAGAAATTGGTCTGGGAAAGGCTTGGAAAACTCCATGTTTAACATAAAAAATTGCAATATTATCTTTATTCCCTCTCCCCCATTCCCCGCTGCCCTCAGATTTTTGGCCCACACCAGGCAATGCTCAGGGGTTACTCCTGGATTTGCACTCAAGAATCACTCCTGGCAGTCTTGGGGGAACATATGGGGTGCCGGGGTTAGAACCTCAGTAGGCTGCATGCAAGGCAAATGCCTACCCACTATACTATAACGCCAGGCTCCAAATAGCTTTATTTTTGTGTGGCATCACCAACCTTGATTATGCCAGTAACTCACCCTGCCCTGAAAACAACCTGTCCTGTTCTGCTCTAGAAGAATGCCTGTGACTAGAATCCCGTTCTTCTCGTTTTATTTCTCTTCTCAAGCGGTGCTTAGGGGCCAGGGCCCACTCCCAGCAATACTCAGGGCTCAGCCCTGTCACTTCTTGGGCCACCAGTGCGAATGGAGACAAGCTGTGTTGGGGGTGGAATTGGGATTCTTGAATGTGCAAGATATGCCCTCCTCTTGGAGCTATCTCCATGACCCGTGCTTTTGTCTGTAAATGATCTAGCTTGGGGCTGGAGTGATAGCACAGTGGGTAGGGTGTTTGCCTTGCATGGCCAACCCTGCCAACTCGGGTTTGATTCCTAGCATCCCAGGTGGTCCTACAAGCACTGCCAGGAGTAATTCCTGAGTGCATGAGCCAGGAGTAACCCCTGTGCATCGCCAGGTGTGACTCAAAAAAAAGCAAAAAAAAAAAAAAAATGGTTCATGGTCTAGCTTATTTGGCTCTTCTAGGTTTTTTTTGTTGTTGTTGTCGTTGTTGTTTTTTTTTTACAGAAGTCATTCCTCTATTCCTTCCGTATCTTGTTCTCCCAACTTCCAGAGGTAATCCAAGAATGTTTCTGGCCTTTCCTCGTTGTCAGTGTAAGAGTCAGCTCTTTTTTTTTTTTTTGAGACTTGTATATTATTAGCACCTGTTCAACTACCTTCCAGCATACAAAAATAATTAACTATTTTCCTCCATTCCTGTTTTCTTTATTTTTGTAAACATATACCTAAAACAGACAAACAAAAAGCCAGATAAAGATAAAAAAAAATAAAAACAAGATCTGGATGACAGTACAGTGGATAGGGCATTTATTTGCCTTGCACATGCCAACTCAGGTTCAATCCCTCCAGAAGTGATCCCTAAGCACAAAGCCAGGAGTGAGTCCTGAGCAACGCCAAATGTGGTTCCCAAACAAGAATAAAACAAAAATGAGGGGCTGGAGCAATAGCATAGTGGGTAGGGCGTTTGCCTTGCACGCGGCCGATCCGGGTTCAATTCCCAGCATCCCATATGGTCCCCTGAGCATCACCAGGGGTGGTTCCTGAGTGCAGAACCAGGAGGAACCCCTATGCATCGCCGGGTGTGACCCAAAAAGCAAAGAAAATAAATAAAAGGAAGTTTGTTTTAAAAAAAATGAATGCATACTTTGCATACTAAACATATGAGGGAGCATGCAAAGAAATTAGGCTCTGTGAACTAAAGCCATAGATTTGATCCTAGCGTGCAGCTGGGAGATGCCCCAAACACTGCTACATATGACCTAAAACCCTCCACATAGAAAAGTAATTTGGAGGGGAGGCCCCACAACCAGCAGTGCTAGGGGCCTACTTTTGGCCCAATTCTTGGAAGCTATTCCCACTGGTGCTTAAGGAACGGACCTTGAACCTAGGGTTTTTTTTTTTTTTTTTTGCTTTTTGGGTCACACCCAGCGATTCACAGGGCTTACTCCTGACTCTGCACTCAGGAATTACCCCTGGCGGTGGTGCTCGGGGGACCATATGGGATGCTGGGAATCAAACCCGGGTCAGCAGTGAACCTAGGGTTCTTGCAAGAGAGTACTGTTAGTCACCTTCTGTTTTCACTTTTGGTTTTCTTCTTTTTTTGTTTAACTTTGCGCTTCTAAGTTGTACCTTGGGTCCAGGCTATTCTGGTCATTTAGGCTGGATGGTTAAATTGTGCTGGGGCCTAGTTATGAGGTACTGCTCAGACCTCTGTACTAGGCGCCACCAGATTCAGTCTAGTAGTACTCTGGAACCTAGAGGTACCAGAGTCTGCGTACCAGGCATGCTTGCAAGTCCCTTGGTCTTTTTCCCCTATCCTCATTTTTTTTTCTTGTTAACTCAGTGGATGACTGTTTTGCTTTTTTTGGAGAAGATGACAAGGGGCCCAGAGGTCCCAGATGCAGAAAAGGAAGCACCTGGTGTTTGTGGGTATATCAGGGGCCAGAAGTTTTGAGACTTGAGTAGCAGGGTACAGGGCAAGCAGGTAGGTCATAGCTGGGCCGTGTAAGTGGTACAGCCTCACAGGACCGAATTTGGATGGTTTGCACCGTGTGTCATCATAGCTACACTCTATCCCAGCTGCAGTTCACTGAGACCTTACTATGTGCCGGACTTCTGCGTGCATTCACAATACACGATAGGTAGCAGGTAATTTTATTATTTCCATTTTCAGACCAAGAAGCTGAAACAGAGTTAACAACTTGGCCAAGGCCACACAGTTGTGAGCAGCAGGTGACTGCAAGGTTTGGCCTGACTCCAGCACCCTGCTCCAGAGCTTGGTCTACTCTACTCTCCGTCCTGGCTGTTGCCCTCTGTCCTGTTTCCTGCCTCCCACCTCCCCACCATTCTGCTGTCCTCCCCAATATCCCTGCTGGAACTCTAAGGTGTTCACATTTTATTCTGTCTACCTCTATCTAGTGGGTTCCGTCAAATCTCATTTCGAAATAGGGCATACCTCTGAAGCCATTCATGAGCAGATTTTAGAGTGCTTCCTTGTTGCATCTGTTGTCTGTTTTGGACCCTGAAAAGATACAGAGAGCACTCAAGCATACACAAATCCTCTCCACAGAATAGCCTACACACACACTCTCACATACACAGACATACACACAGAGGCACAGGCACACACACACAAACACCCTAGCCCATGTGCACATAAATAATCATGTAACTCCCAAGTAAGCATGCAAGCACATATGACTCTTTCCCAACACATAAATGCAAACACAGGCACAGAACACATGCTTATTCACACGCACATAAACACACATATGTGGGTAACACGCGCACGCAATCTCACTTTCTTGCATCAAAGCTTGGCACAGTTGCTCTCGGATGCGCCCGTGCAGTAGGAGCCCGGAAGGAAGTGAAACCTGTGGTGATAGGAAGTAAAACCGGATGGTTGTCTCTACTGTAGCTCTGGACACAGCTGTTGGGAGGGCTAAGCAAACAGCCTACAGTTTCTGGAACTGCTCTGAGGTAAAAGGGATCCCTTGGGGTTGGACTGGGGGGTCTAACTGGAGGGCTGGGATGTGAGGTGAACTGGAAAAAGTGGTCTTCTCCTGGAGGCCCCACTCCCCGCCTTAGACAGGTTGTGACTTTTCACAGGGTGGAAGAGCTTCTCCCTCACTGACAGCCTGTGGCAGGGCCCCCAGATGAGTCTCTGAGTCAGATGCACGGTGTCCGTCTTTGTTCTTGGTCTAGAAAGAAACTGTTTACTATAGAGAGTTTTCAGGCTCCCTTTTATTCCCCCTTTCCTTTTTTTAAAACTTAATTTTATTTATTTATGTTTGTCTGTGGGTCACACCCAGCAGGGCTCAGGGCTTCCTCCTGACCTTTACCCCTCAGCTTTCTCTCTGGTCCTTTCCCCCTTCTCTTTTAAAAACAAATGAAACATTTCACCAGGCAGAGAAGAGGAAATAAGTCTTTGGTACTAAGTGTTGAAAGGTTGTTTTTCCGAATGCCTGACCAGGCTGCTGGCAACTGTAGTAGATGAGATTTGTGTCTGTCTGGTGGGCCAGAGAAGCTCCTAGACTCTGGACTGTTGGGTCCTCCGTCAGGGGTCGGGGGTTGTTGGGAGGATGGAGTTGAAGGTCTGGAAGCTTGGGGAACTGCAGTGTGCCACTGAGTACAGGAGATGGATGGGGTACTTGCAAGCAGACACGAGAGGCTGGGAGAAGTTCCAGAACTGAGAGAAGCTGAAAAACCTCTTCAGAAGTTCTGCTGTCTGATTTAGGGGCGGCAGTCCTTGTCATGCCTAAACATTCACCTAGTACCTTCTAAAAATTCCCTGTTGGAGCCTGATCTCTCTCTCTCTCTCTCTCTCTCTCTCTCTCTCTCTCTGCTTTTTGGGTCACACCTGGCGATGCACAGGGGTTACTCCTGGCTCTTCACTCAGGTGTACCTGGAGGTGCTCAGGGGACCATATGGGATGCTAGGAATCGAATCCGGGTCGGTCGCGTGCAAGGCAAACGCCCACCTGCTGTACTATCGCTCTAGCCCCTGGAGCCTGATCTAAGAATCTTTGGATATAATCTAGCTCAGTGATTGCCAAACTTTCCATTTACCACTTCTACTTGACTTGGGGGGGAGGGGGTTGTTTGTTTTGTTTTGTGGCCACACTTGAAGTGCTCAGGGAACAATAGGGGAGCCAGGATTTGAAACAGGGTCAGTCATACTTCTTTTTTTTTTTTTTTTTGCTTTTTGGGTCACATCTGGCGGTGCCCAGGGGTTACTCCTGGCTCTGCACTCAGGAATTATCCCTGGCAGTGCTCAGAGGACCATATGGGATGCTGGGAATCGAACCAGGGTCGGCCGCGTGCAAGGCAAACACCCTACCCGGTCTGCTATTGCTCCAGCCCCCACTTCTACTTAATTTTTAAAAATTAAGCTGCTTAATTTGAAAAGAATTCTATCTGAAAAGTGCTAATCTTCAGGAACCACTGATCTCACCCGTCTGCCCTCTCTGGTCTTCCCTGCCCTTAGTGATTATTGTGCATCAGCCCTGGCCAATGAGCACTGGAGTCCGCACTCACTGTGGTGCCAGGGATGGAATTCACAGCCCCATGCCAGTAAGGAGGGCGGTCTACCCCTGAACCACATCTCCAGGCCCCAAATATACCCTCCTTCCAGGTGAAGAAACTAAAGCCCATAAATGAATATTATGTGACCGAACCAAGTTAAGAAAAATGCCAAGAGGAATCAATTCCTGTGCTCTCTTAGACCTTGATTCTGTTCCCTAGGTCTCCTAGGTCTGTCACCCCCTGCACTCTAGGGGATCAAGTAAGTGTTTGGCACGAGCGTGATTTCATTGAGGAATCCTGATGGTAGAATGGAAGTGACATTTAAAAAAAATTTTTTTAAATTTATTTAGGGGAGAGAGGGTTGGGCCATACCTGATGTAGCCTCTGGCTTACCCCGGACTCTGAACTCAGGAATCACTCCTGACAGAGCTCGGGGAACCATATGGGGTCCTAGGATCAAACCATGGGTGGCTGTATTATTTTTGCTGTATTATCTCCCCAGTCCTACATTTAACCTTTAAGTGGGGTATTTGGGTTCGAAAGAGATAGTATGGAGACTGAATGTTGAATGTAGGTAAAGGGATATACCTTATAACCTTTCAGTATCTGTATTGCAAACCATAATGCCCAAAAGGAGAGAGAGGGAGAGAGAGAGAGAGAGAGAGAGTTGCCTGCCATGGAGGGGAGGAGGCGGGGTGGAAACTGGAGACACTGGTGGTGGGAAATGTATACTGGTGAAGGGACAGGTGTTGAAACACTGAAACCAAATCATGAATAACTGTGTAACTGTGTCTCTCACTGTGATTCAATTAATAAATAAATTTTTAAAATAAAATTTTAAAACGAGATAATATGGGATTGAAGGCATTTGCCTTGAATATGGCCCACCCTGGTTTGATAAGTTATGGCCCAAAAACAAAACAACAAATAAATAGATATTTATACATAAAAACTCCTGAAAGACCTCCCCATGAGCTCTAATCAATGAAAATTCAAATTGTGTGACTGTAAAGCTTTTTTTTGATAACCTTTCTAACTGACCTTTCCTTGGTCCTTCCCAAAGTCTCAGGACAAATTTCTTCCTTCTCAGTCTTTTTTTGGAAGGGGACGCGGGGAATACCTGGCTGTGCTCGGGGTTTGCTCTATGCTCTAAGGTCACTTCTTGCAGTGCTGGGGATGGAGACGGAACTGTACCCGACATGCAAGGGGAGTGCCCAACCTCTAGACTATCTCTTAGTAGCACTGTAGCACTGTCCTCCAGTTGTTCATCAATTTGCTTGAGTGGGCACCAGTAACGTCTCCATTGTGAGACTTGTTACTGTTTTGGGCATATCGAATACGCCACGGGGAGCTTGCCAGGCTCTGCTGTATGGGTGGGATACTCTTGGTAGCTTGCCGGTCTCTCGGTCTCTCCGAGAGGGACGGAGGAATCAAATCTGGGTTGGCCGCATGCAAGGCAAACGCCCTACCTGCTGTGTTATGGCTCCTGACTATCTCTTAGTACCCTGAAATAATAGTTTTAGAGGTTTTTAGAATTTTTTTTATTTTGTTTTGTTTTGTTTTTGTTTTAAGACCTCACCTGATAGTGCTCAGGGTTTATTCCAGGCTCTGAACTCAGGGATCGCTCCTTTGTGGGGATTGGAAGACCATATGCGGTGCTGGGGATCAGCCCTGGGTTGGCTGTGCTCAAGGCAAGCACCTTACCTGCTGTATTTCACTTGCCCCTGGGATTTTTTCATGCTCAGTAGACTGAGAACATGCTTTGTAAGCAGGAGGTCCAGGTTTGATCTTAATCCCCAGTACCACATGGTCCCCCAACCAAAGCTGGTAGTAACCCCAGAGCACAGCCAAGTAGCCCGTGATACCAGTGAGTGTGGCCCTAAAAAAATGAACAAACAGCTCATATCCTGAGATTGGAGCCCATACTTTGCATTCGTAGCCCTGGATCAATCCCTGGCACCACCTGGCCCTACCCTGGCCCCAAGCTCAATTAGGAGTGACCGCTGGGTGTGACTTCAAAACAAAAGAAAATGCTATTGTTCTGAACTATCAAGATGCTATACCTGGACTTGCTCATTATCCTACATTATTTATTTCCTTTTTTTCTCTCATTTTTCATTTATCTTTTTTCTCCTATTTTTCATTTATCTCTCTGAGATGCCCTTTATTTGAATGTTGGGTTTCCTGAATCAACAATCATCTCACTTTCTTTCTTTCTTTCTTTCTTTTTTCTTTCTATTTTTAGTTAAAAAGTTAAATAACTCTGGGGGTTGGAGTGATAGCACAGCAGGGAGGGCGCTTGCCCTGCACGCGGCCGACCCAGGTTCGAGTTCCAGCATCCCATATGGTCCCCTGAGCACCGCCAGGAGTAACTCCTGAGTGCACGAGCCAGGAGTAACCCCTGTGCATCACCGGGTGTGACCCAAAAAGCAAAAAAAAAGAAAAAAAAAAGTTAAATAACTCTGGTGAAGGGATTGGTGTCAGTGGAACTTTGTACACCTGAATCACAATCATTAATAACTTTGTAATTCACAGTGATTCAATTAAAAAAAAACTTTTTTAAACCTGGTTCTCTCCAGCAAAGCTACACTTAGTGGAACCCTGAGGATGCTGAGAGGTACTGGGACCCTGTGTACCCCAGTACACGCGCTCCAGCCCAGTGACTATCTCCTTGACCCTCTTCTCATTATCTTTTCTCTTATTTTGCTCTACTTTCTTTTCTGCTCTGATTTTTTTTTTATTTTGGGACCCACACCTGGCAGTGCTCAGGATTTCCTCCCAGAGGAACATTGTTCTTGGGTCCTCCAGGTTGTGCAGGGACTGTGTGGTTGTGAGAATCGAAACCTGGATACCTTTGAGATATCATACAAGCCTTTTGCTGACCACTGGGGGAGGGGTGCTTTTTTCTTTTGTTTCGAGGTATGTTTTTCTTTCTTCTTTTTTCCCCCCATACCCAGCAGGGTTTACTCTGAACTGTGTGTTCAGGGATCACTCCTGAAGGTGCTCAGTGAAATATATGGGGTGCTAGGGATCAAAGCTGGGTCAATCGTAGCAAGACAAGTACCATACTCGCTATATTACCTCTCTGGTTATATTAGTATTACTTTCTAAAATATTTTCTTAAATGTTGTCAATAATGTTAGCTTATCAAGAAATTTCAGCTTTAAAAAAATTTTTTTCATCTTTTGAACTTTTCATTTCTAAGAACTCTTTTTTTCACTTTGTTAATTTTTATTTTTATTTTTTTTATTTTATTTTATTATTATTATTATTATTATTTGCTTTTTGCGTCACACCCGGTGATGCTCAGGAGTTACTCCTGGCTCATGCACTCAGGAATTGTTCCTGGTGCTGCTCAGGGGACCATAAGGGGTGCTGGGAATCGAACCTGTGTCGGTCATGTTGGCTGCGTGCAAGGCAAACGCCCTACCCGCTGTGCTATCGCTCCAGCCCCACTTTGTCAATTTTTAAAACCCCCTGATGCCGTTTTATGAACACGTTAGCTTCAGCAGTTCCTATTTCTCTAAGGATATTATTATAGCTCTTGTGCAATTTTCTTTCATTTCCTTTTTTTTTTTTTTTGCTTTTTGGGTCACACCCGGCCATGCACAGGGGTTACTCCTCCTGGCTCTACACTTGGAAATTACTCCTGGTGGTGCTCGGGGGACCATATGGGATGCTGAGAATCGAACCCAGGTGAGCTTGCCTTGCAAGGCAAATGCCCTACCCACTGTGCTATCACTCTAGCCCCTCTTTCATTTCCTGCATTGTCTGAACTTCCCTTCCATTTTTCTCTCTGTGTGTCATGTCCCTCCTTCTTTCTTACTTTCCCTTCCCTTCCTGTTTGTATAATGACGAGGATAAGTGTTGCTCCTTTGGCTGCAGTCCTTGTTCGGGATCACACAATTGAGTTGTGATGTTTGCACACACATTTGGTTGTGGTGTGCTGCAGATGGCACACTTTCGTGTGTCTCCAGGGGTCCCAATGGCAGTGCCACTGGGATCACACTCAGCATGAAGCGGTGCTGGGGATCTAACTCATAGCCTCACACTTGCAAAGCAGGTGTGTGACCACTGACCCTCTCTGTTTTACTTGGTTTGGGATTTTGGGCTACTCTCCCAATGGTACTCAGGTCTTACTCCCAGCTCTGCAATCAGGTATCACCGGACCTATATGGAGTGCTGGGGATCTTTCCTGGGTGGGCACGTGTAAGGCGAACAGTCTACCTGCTGGGCTTTCTCTCCAGCCCTCTCATCATATTTGAAAGTAAAGCGCACTTTCTTTTTTAAGTGAAACACTTTTTTTTTTCTTTTTTGGGTCACATCCGGCGATGGATGCACAGGAGTTACTCCTGACTCTGCACTCAGGAATTACCCCTGGCGGTGCTCAGGGGACCATATGGGATGCTAGGAATCGAACCCAGGTCGGCCACGTGCAAAACAAATGCCCTACCTGCTGTGCTATTGCTCCAGCCCCCTAAGTGAAACACTTTTTTTTTTTTTGCTTTTTGGGTCACACCTGGCGGTGCACAGGGGTTACTCCTACCTCTGCACTCAGGAGTTATTCCTGGCGATGCTCAGGGGACCATATGGGATGCTGGGAATCGAACCCGGGTCGGCCGCGTGCAAGGCAAACGCCCTACCCACTGTGCTATCTCTCCAGCCCCCCTAAGTGAAACACTTTTAAGGGGCCAGAGTGCAGCAGGAAGGCAAAGGCACTTGCCTTGCATGGAGCAGACAGGTTCAATCCCCAGCCTCCCATATGGTCCCCCGAGCATCAGGAGTGATCCCTGAGCACAGAGCTAGGAGTAACCCCTAATAACTGCTGGGTATGGCCTAAAAGCAAAACAAACCCCCCAAAAGCAAAACATTTTTTAAATTTTTTTAATTTAATTTTTTTATTGAATCACCATGAGATACAGTTACAAGCTTTCATGCTTGAGTTACAATCATACAATGATCAAAACTCATCCATCCACCAGTGTCATTCACCACCAATGTCCCCAGTATGCCCCCCATCCAACCCTCCTCCTGCCTCCATAGCAGACAATTTCCCCCATATTCTCTACTTTCGCGCAATATGGTCTGCAATACAAATACTGAGAGGTTATCATATTTGATAACCTACTTTCAGCACGCATCTCCCACCCTGAATGATTCCTCCAACCATCATTGACTTAGTGATCCCTTCTTTATCCCAGCTGCCTTCTCCCCCAGCTCATGAGGCAGGCTTCCAACTATGGGGCAATCTTCATGGCCCTTGTGGTCTACTGTCCTTGGGTGTCAAGCTCATGTTATTTTATATTCCACAAATGAGTGCAGTCCTTCTATGTCTGTCCCTCTCTTTCTGACTCATTTCACTTAGTATGATACTCTCCATGTCCATTCACTTAGAAGCAAATTTCATGACTTCATCTCTCCTAACAGCTGCATAGTATTTCATTGTGTAGATGTACCAAAGTTTCTTTAACCAGTCGTCTGTTCTCAGGCACTCGGGTCATTTCCAGATTCTGGCTGTTGTTAACAGTGCTGCAGTGAACATATAGGTGCAGAATGTCATGTCTACTGTGCTTTTTTGCACCTCGGTATAGATTCCCAGAAGTGGTATTGCTGGGTCATATGGAAGCTCAAGTTCTAGTTTTTGAAGGAATATCCATATTGTTTTCCAGAAAGGCTGAACCAGTCAGCATCCCCACCAACAGTGAGAGAGTGTCCCTTTTTTCCCACATCCACGCCAGCACTGGTAAGCAAAAATGTTTTAAACTTTGATTTTAATGTCTTCCTCAACATGTGCACCCTGGGGGCTTCGTCTCAGGGACTTTTTGCTTAGAAAAGCCCTCCTTGCCTTTACTCAAAGGCTTTTTTTTTTTTTTTTTGCTTTTTGGGTCACACCTGGCTATGCACAGGGGTTACTCCTGGCTCTGCACTCAGGAGTTACTCCTGGCGGTGCTCGGGGAACCATATGGGATGCTGGGAATCGAACCCAGGTCGGCCGCGTGCTATCGCTCCAGCCCCTACCCAAAGGCTTTCTGGGGTGGGGTAGAGAAACTGATAGACTGCTTCCTATAATCTGAGAAAGGGCTGGGAGAAACAAACTCAGAATTCCCACTCAACCCGCTGAGGCTCCATCTGAGTAATTTCCTCTTCAGGCATCATGATGTTGGCGGGACACCCCCCTGTGCACGCAGCCCTGCCCGCCCTGCTTCTGGGGGCGGCTATTTCTTTCTGCTCAGCCATCCCCATAGATGTTGCACGGAAACAGCTGCTAACCCGAGAGAAGATGATGAGGCTGGGGGGGAAGCTGGTACTGAACAGAGAGGAGAAGCTGGCCAATGTGAAGCTCATGGCGCTCAAAAAGGCTGAGATGCTGGAGGCCCTGAGGACACAGAAGTTCCCGCCCAGTATGCACTTCTTCCAGGCCAAGAGTCTCATCGAGAAGAGTGAGGTCTTTAAAGTCCTGCAGAGAATGCCCAAAGGTAAAGATTTGTAGACCTTGTTCTTGGAGCCTGGGAAGGTGGGGGGTAGGGGGAGACTACATTGGCAACTGGTTTAGTCTTTGGAGTCATTACTGTTCTAAATGGAATCGAGAGATTTCTCCTTTAACAAATGTTCCTTCATTCTTTTTTTTTTTAGGGTAAACATTTCTTTTTTTAAAATTTTTTTAAAATTATTTATTTATTTATTTTGAATTACCCATCCCTCCACCAGTGACCATTTCCTACCACCGGGTATCCCAGTATCCCTCCAACCCCCCCCCCCAACCCTTCCTGTCTCTGACAGGCATTCCCTTTTGTTCTCTCTCTCCTATTGGGTGTTGTGTTTTGTATAAGAGTTAAGCCTGATTTTCAGGGAGAGAAGTTGGATGATTTACTTTCCATTGATCACTTTGTATATATGGAGATGTCACGCGGCCGCATAAGCGGCCGCGTGGTTTGGAGGAAAAGTCCTAGTTCCCGCATACTCGAGCTATGCTTGTAGAGGCTTCTGGTCACTGGGGTTCCATCTGGAGGAGGCAGGATGCGGCACCTACCCCATCTGGGACTTCCCAGTGATCTCGGCTCTTTTGGGAACCGGGTGCCTTCTCCTGGAGCTGTGGAGCCCCCCATGCGGCCTTTCTTCTCTGCGGCTGTGTGCTGTAAAGATGGCGCTGGGGGGCGGGTTGTGTGTTCCCTCATTCTTGCTGGGAAAGGAAGAAGTTCACCCTGTGAACAAAGATACTGCTTCCAGGGAGAGGCGGGAGCAGGCCCCGGAAACTGCTGGTCATGCAGTAAAGCTAGAAAGTCATCTACCCCTCAGTAGTGTCCAGGACACAGAATCTAGTCACACTCTCCCCCTGTCTCCTTAAACTCCTATTCCCCCTTATCTTGTTTTTTTGGAGCTACACCCAGCAGTGCTCAGGCCTACTCTTTTTTTTTTTTTTTTATGTAGGAGTACTGCTATTTATTCAGCCACTGATTTTAGCTGATTGAATTGGGCATGAACTCCACCTTACTTTTTTTTTTTCATAATTTTATTTATTTATTTATTTTTCTTCTTATATTTATTTATTGAATCACTGTGGGAAAATTTACTAAGCTTTCAGGTTTAAGTCTCAGTCATACAATGATCAAACACCTCTCCCTTCACCAGTACTCATTTTTCACCACCAAGAACCCCAATATACCCCCCTCCCGCCCCTCCCAATGTCTGTGAGGCAGATGATTTCCACTTAACTCTTCTCTACATTGATTACATTCATTATTTCGACAAAAGATGCACCATTATTGTTTAGAATTTCCCCCCAACAATCAGAATTGCTGAAAGGGCATTGTGAAATACTTTGTTTTCTATAGCTGGTTATGAGAATCAGATAATATCGCATGGCTGCGATAGTGGTTGCGTGATTTTGGATTTCTGCAAAGAGCCAGATAATTACGAGATTGGTTTCTGTGTGTCTGGTGTTATGGCTGTGCTGGAGTGACACTCGTGGGGGGCAACTTGTGACCTCAGTAGGGCGTGAAGGACGAGTTGGTACCGTCCCCTTCCCGTGAGACTGCAGTTACCCCGTCACCGCCAGCTCATACCTGGCTTTCCTATAAGCGCTGAGGTGGCGGCCACCTTGCTGCTGGGGCCTCAGGCCTGACTCTTGGCGCTACATTTAGGATCATTGTAGGATAACACTCTTTTGTCCTTCCTCAGGTAGCTTAGGTTTGTCAGGTCACACCCATCTAAGAACACTGAACTTGTATTGTAAGCAATGTCCTTTCTGTGTGGACACAGGAAGACAGTTAATATTATGCTTTGTAACTTGGGAGTTGGTTGACTCCGAATAATATTTACTCCTGGGCATCTGATTTCTTGACTCAGTTGCCCTTAGTTCCTAGCACCCCAAAAGCAGGGTCCCGACGAGGGACTGAATGGACCCAGGGCAAGCAGTGAGCTACCCTGGCATCGAAATGGGCCAGGCCAAAAAGCCACGATACTCAACTATAAGTTGAGGGCATGATCATGGACAAATGCTGTCATGATCCAAAAGTAAGTAACGACGAGACTAGGACCCTGCTGGAGCTAGGAAGATTAACCTGGCCTGAGGACTGCGGAATGTAGAGTGAGATGTTCTCAGGAAGAACCAAACTAAGTTTATATCTCTTACTGTGCTCATACAGAATGACATTGCTAGAAATATTAGAAGTAGATTTATTACAACTATTTAAGTAGATTACTAATTGAAGGAAGAACACACCCTTGTTGGGATCCCACCCTTGGGAGGATCTCCTAGTAATCTGAAGTAATCTCTGTAGATGAGATTTTATCCTTGAGTTAATCTCCTGGAGGAGTGGTCTTACCTCTCTTTGTTGTTTTGTCAGTATTCAACCCACCTTTATGTCACTGCCTTATGTGACTGCTATATAAACTAAGACGTAAGCTCAGAAGGGGGTCAGAAGTGAGAGAGCTCGGGCTCCAGAGATCCAGAGTCAGAGCCAGAAGGAGAGAGCTTCCAAGACTGGGGCCCAGGAGAGAAGGAGGCAGAGAAAGACAGGAGTGAAGAGGATTGGAATAAACTACTATTGATATAGACCGGCCTGGCCCCCGTTTTTTCTTCCGTCTGCCCTTGGCCAACAGCCGTTCCGATCCAGGCCACACACAGTGGCTCAAGAGCACCGAACGCAGGCGGTGAAACAGTGCCGTCCAGTGAGCCCGTGAACATACAACCTTCGGCGTGATAAGATTTTACAGATCATTCCTCATGGGGCTTGGGGACCACAAGTGGTGCTCGAGATTGAACTTGAGTGGGCTGTGTGCAAGGCAAGTATGCCACACTCTGTACTAACTCTCTGGCCCTCAAACTCCGACCTTTTTCCAGGGGACAAGTTAACAAATAGGTTGCAAAATAAGATAGCATCTTGGATGAACACACTGTTAATAGTATTTTCTATAATACAAGCACATTCACTGCCTAATAAAGTAATTATAATCATAAACAGATATATAGCCATTTGCAACTTAAAAAAGTACTTAGCACTGCACTGCACTGTCCTCCTGTTGTTCATCAATTTGCTTGAGCGGGCCCAGTAATGTCTCCATCGTGAGACTTGTTACTGTGTTTGGCATATTGAATATGTCATGGGGAGCTTGATACTCTCAGTAGCTTGCCGAGCTCTCCAGGAGGGGCAGAGGAATCAAACCCTGCTCAGCTGGGCCAGCTGCACGCAAGGCAAACGCCCTACCGCTGTGCTATCACTCCAGTCCACAAAAGTGCTTCTACCTTTGCTTTTTAGCATTATATAGAGAGATGTTTAAAAAAAAATAGTTTGGTAAAGTAGCCTTATCAATTAGTGGAGAAGCCTTGTTACCTCAGCCGTAATTTTTACAATATATACTTTTAAAAACAAATGAAAAAATATGTATAGATAGAAAACAGATAGACAGACAGATAAGGCTGGAGAGAGCTCAAGCAGCTCTGCGTGTGGCTGGCATTCAGAAGCCAGGGTACCTTTGTCCTCGACCACAGAGTCAGAAATAACTCCAGAGCACAACCAGGTATGGCTCCAAAGTCAAAACGTAAAACACAACCAAACCAGCTCGAGCTCCCAACAGAGAGCTAAAGTAGAAAGACCCCCGCCTCACCCAGGCTGCAGCTTCCAGACCTCTGAGGCTGCTGTCCTAAAGATGCCCCTCCCCAGTGGAGGAGGCGGCCGAGAAACCCCATTTGACAAGCAGAGCGAAGTAGCCAGGCGACAGGGGCGAGGCGGGTGAGGCGGGCCAGGGCTCCCTGAGCAGGAGACGATGTTTGGTTTCCAGAACTGGGCCAGCTGGAAATCCTGCGCTTCCTGCTTTCCTCACCCAGCGACAGTCCTCGCCAAGTCCTGGAAGCCTACCCCGCTCCCCAACCTTCTTTTTCCGTGTTCTACCCAGGGGCTGCCTTACACCTCCACGACTTTGGCATCCTGAGTATGGACTGGCTCGTGAAAAATGTCACCTACAGGCCCCACTGCCATTTCTGTCGCACCCCAAAGGGGGCCCTGAAGTTCAAATTTGCCCACCCGACCCCCCCGGCACCTGCACCAGCAGAATGTTCGAAGTGGATTTTGCTGGAGGATTATCGTAAGCAGCTGCAGAACGTCTCTGAGTTTGACAACAAGTGAGTGAACTTCAGAAAGAACCAGTCCTACACCCACCCCAGGGGCCCAGCAGTGTGTGGTGTGTCTCTGATTACAGGTGAAGCACCTTTAACATAAAATCTAACCTTGGAAGTGGGAGTGGGGGGTGAGAGAGATAGTACAGAGGTTTATGTACTTGCCTTGCCTGCAGTAAGTTCCTATTAGATCCCTGGGACATATGTGGTCCCCTAAGTACCACCAAGAATGATACCTGGGGCTGGAGCAATAGCATAGTGGGCAGGGTGTTTGTCTTGCACACGGCCAACCCAGGTTCGATTCCAAGCATCCCATATGGTCGCCCGAGCCATGCCAGGAGTAATTCCTGAGTGCAGAAAAAAAAAAAAAAGGAATGATCCCTGAGAGGCTGGAGCGATAGTACAATGGTAGGCACTTGTCTTGCATGCAGCAGACCAGGGCTGCATTCCATCTGGTCCCAGAACCCTGCCAGGAGCAACTCCCGAACTCAGTGCCAGGAGTAATCCCTAAGCATCTCTGGGTTAGGGAAAAAAAAAAAATTCAGAGGTCAGGCCAGGGATGTAGCATATCACGGTGGTAGAGCATGTTTGACATCTAGGGTTCAATTTCCAATACCAAGTGGTTCCCTAAACACGGCTGGAGAACTGCACCTGAGCACTTAACCAGAAATCACCCCCAAAGCACAGCCAGGTGTGGCCCCCAAACAAGAAAAATCAGGGGTGGAATTCAGTATGTAGTGGAATAGGACACACACTTCACACACAGGAGCCCCGGGTCCCTTTCCTGCCACTGCATTCGCCATCCCATGAATACCGCCAGAAGGACCACTGAGCACAGAGCTGAGAGGAGCCCCAGAAAGAAAAATTCAGGGGCTGAGAATGCAGTTCGGTGGCTGGAAGTCTGCATTTAAGCACTAAGTTCAATTCCTAGTACAAAAATGTACCGTATCCCACCCTCTCCCCAAATTAGAAGGCTTTTTAATTTTATATTTTCTTTGTGGGGCGGGAGCTTGCCATACTTGGCAGTGCTCAGGGGCTATTCCTGGCTCAGTGCTCAGGGGTTGCTCCTGGTGATATTTGGGATTCCACACCATAGTGGGGTTGGAACCCAGGCCTCCAGCATGCCAAGCAGTCCCCTGAAAATCTCCCTGTCCCAGGAATCCTTTTCTTTGAACTTTATAGGATACTTGACTAGACACAAGTTTTCAACACGTTTTCCTTCTTAAGTTCCTGGTGCATTTAAAATTCTATGTAATTTACAAAAGATAGTAACAGGAGCACTGTTGCTGAATGAATTGAGATTTGTTTTTATGTGCAAATAGACTAGAGAAAAGAAACATTGGTAGCACCTGGAGCAGTGACAGTTCAGCTGGTGGGTGAAACAGCTTGAAAACTCTAGGGAGTAACTTCCTAAGGAACACACTCAGTAATATTAGATGTGACAACTATAGGTTAGTCATAAAACCATCAAGAGTGCTTTCAGGGGGGCTGGAGCAATAGCACTGTGGGTAGGGTGTTTGCCTTGCACGCGGCTGACCCAGGTTCGATTCCTAGCATCCCGTATGGTCCCCTGAGCACCGCCAGGAGTAATTCCTGAGTGCATGAGCCAGGAGTAACTCCTGAGCATCGCTGGGTGGGACCCAAAAAGCAAAAAAAAAAAAAAAAAAAAAAGAGTGCTTTTAGGAACTTGTTTCCATTTATGCTTAATAAAGGCGAGGCTTAGCCTGGTTAAGTGTGTTGCCCATGGCCACATAGCAGAAAGACTAGTTGTGCCCCCCTTCCTCACCAACCTCCCCTCTGGCCAGGACGACTCCTTCCTGGGAGGGTGGGGGACTCCCCTCCACCTCACAGCTCACCGGGCAGCAGCCTGGTTCGCTTCACGTCAGCCTGCAGGCCTCCTCCGTGTGTCCCTTTGTGTCCTGGACAGCCTGCTGAAGGCCTTCACTCTGATGACCACGAACCCCGACGTGACTTACGCAACCCAAGATCTCATCTGGTCCAAGTTCGAGGGCATCTTCTTCAGCATCGCTGGCCTTGTGCACTTCGCTCCCGTGTTCAGGGACTACATCTCCCAGAGCCTGGCGGAGTTCCACGAGGACAACGTGCTGTACCTGGAGCTCCGGGCCATGCTCTTCCCGGTAAGCCCATCTCCCTCCTCTGTCTGGCTCTGACTTGAGACCTTGTCCTTTCCGTTTCCCAGGCCCCTCGCGATCACGATCATCCTGTTGTTCGTTGATTGCCCTGAGCAGGCCCTAGTAACGTCTCCTTCGTCCTAGCCCAGAGATTTTTAAAAGTGCCACATTCAAGGCTCTTTCAGGGTTAGGAGAATGAGACCCATCATTGTTACTGGTATTTGGCATATTGGGTACGCCACGGGGAGTTTGCCAGACTCTGCCATGTGGGCAGGCTACATTCAGTAGCCTGCCAGGTTGTCCAAAGTAACCTGCCCTATTATAGATGATACAGAATGCATGTTGACTGTACCCCAGGAACCACCATTAGCCGGGAGATCTGAAATGGACTGAGCTGACCCCCACAAAACAGTGACTCTCACCTTCCTCTTTCATGACCCCCACACCTCCCTTCCTTCCCCCAGGGCCTGCTGGTGCTCAAGTTTCCCTACGGACTCTAAGCAGCCCTGGGTACTTGAACCTTTTTAACCGTCTCCTTTCATAGCAAAAATTAATTCCTTAGGATGATGCTCTTGGTACCGGGTTGGCTAAGGAATTAAGGAAATGCATTGAGTTGTATTCATTGGGTACCAGAGCGGGTAGGGCGTTCGCCTTACAAGCGGCCAACATGGCCGACCCGAGTTCGATTCCTCCGCCCCTCTCGGAGAGCCCGGCAAGCTACCGAGAGTACTCGATATGCCAGACACAGTAACAACAAAGTCTCCAATGGAGACGTTACTGGGCCCGCTCGAGCAAATCGACGATCAACGGGAGGGCCTTTACCTTTACCTTTTACATTGGGTACCGAACCCCTTCTTTGGAAAAAGTATACTCCTCATCACCATGTAGTGTCTGATAGCAATTCTAGAAGTCCACGAGTGGCGGTTTCTCCAAAATACTGTTTCTGATCATGATGAGTGATTTGATGACCCCTTGTCCCTTGGGCATGGGGCCCAATCCTGTCTGGAAACATCCCGTGTTGTTGTTCAGTTAGTCCCAAAGCAATCTCCCCATCTCCCCAAGAGTGTTCTGGTCCTCAAGGCTGTCCTTTCCCCCTCTGGCCTGTTCCCCCTGCCCCGTCCCTCTTGGGCTCCCCTAGAAATGGATGAAGAGCAGGCTGGGGAGCAGGGCAGAGTCCGCTAGGATTTCTGCTCAGGAGTGGCCAGCTCCTGCGGCAGGTTTTCCAGGAAAGTGATGCAGAGAAAAGGTGGGACATTGTGGGGGAACCTTGCGCCCCTACAGGTTTCCCATAGGTCCATTATAATGTGTCCCACAGAGCTCAGAACTAGGCTTTTGGGGCTGACTGTGTTAGCCGAGTGACTGTACGGAAGATGTGGGAACCCCGTGTACCTGCCCCCTAGCCTGGGCTCCTCTGACTCTGCCTTCATCTGCTCTTGGTCTGAGCCGGATGTGCCCCCACAACACCTCCCTGGCCACACTTCCTTCTCAGCCACCAAGTTCAGAGAATTCTAGAAGATAAGGATGGTTCACTGAGTTAAAGGGCAAGTGTAGAAGGTATTTCCAACACTGGGAGCAGCTTATGCAGAGGTCTCGGGGACTTCTTGTGGCTCTGTGCTCAGGAATCACTCCTGGTGGGCTTGGGGTGGGTGCAAGGAATTAAACTCAGGTCAGTCATATGCAAGACAAGTGCCCTACCTGCTGTACTATCTTTCAGGCCTAAAGGACAGATTTAATCAAAGACGTATAAACACATTTGCAATTCAGCAAGCTCAGTCTGGTGGCATTGAACAGGGTTTCTCAACTTTTTTTTTTTCTTTTTGGGTCACACTCGGCAATGCACACTCCTGGCTCATATACTCAGAAATTACTCCTGGCGATGCTCGGGGGACCATATGGGTTGCTGAGAATTGAACCTGGGTCGGCCACGTGCAAGGCAAACGCCCTGCCCACTGTGCCAGCACTCCAGTCCCTCAACCTTTTTCTTGCTGTGGTTCCTTCCAACTTTGTTCCTTCCAACTTTCCCCACTCCATCCTACTGGCTGACCCCCTAGTTTCATGCTGTGACTCTCTGTTTACACAATTTTCACTTGTAGCCCTATGGAATATTCCGTGGGCTCTCAAGGGGTCATATGGCCTCTGGTTGAGAAATGCTAGATTAGAATTTAAGGGTCCCTTCCAGTGGAAGAGGAAGAGAATGGAGACTCCTAAAGAGACCAGACACCTGTAGGTGAAAGATGATGAGGAGTGCAATGAAGGCAGAAGTAGTGAGGAGGAGATAGGTTCAGCGAGTACAGACTGCACAGCTCTAGGGGCTGCCTGTAGTGGGGTGAGGATACTGGCATTGACTTGAGTTTATCATAAATAGTGAAGCTACCGAGAGTATTCGATACGCCAGACACAGTAACAACAAAGTCTCCAATGGAGACGTTACTGGGCCCGCTCGAGCAAATCGACGATCAACGGGAGGGCCTTTACCTTTACCTTTACCTTTACCTTTATAGTTATGGAGGGCTGAGGGCTGGAGCGATAGCACAGCGGGTAGGGCGTTTGCCTTGCACACGGTCGACCCGGCTGACCCAGGTTCGATTCCTCTGCCCCTCTCGGAGAGCCCGGCAAGCTACCAAGAGTATCTTGCCCACACGGCAAAGCCTGGCAAGCTAACCGTGACGTATTCGATATGCCAAACACAGTAACAAGTCTCACAATGAAGATGTTACTGGGCCCGCTCGAGCAAATCAATAAACAACAGGAGGACAGTGACAGCGACAGTGATAGTTATGGAGAATGGAACTGTCAGGAGGATCAAGGTAGAAATGGAAAAATGGTTGACAGGGACTGGAGTGATAGCACAGTAAGTAAAGCACTTGTCCTGCATGCAGTCAAGATTCCCAGCACCACAAATGGTCCTTCAGCCCCATCCGGAATCTCAGTGCAAACCCAGGAGTAAGCCCTGAGCACCGCCAAGGGTGGCCCCCAAACCAAACAAAAACAAACAAAAATCTATAGATAGAGATACTCATGAGTTTAGAGAGGAGAGTGATAATTGACATTTATCTGTTAAAAGTAATCACTACCAGGGACCAGAGAAATAGCACAACAGGTAAAGGCACGCCTTGCATGTGGCCGATCCAGGTTTAATCTCTGGCGTTACATATGGTCCCCTGAGCACCACCAAGAATGATTTCTGGGCGTTCGCAGAGCCAGAAGTAACCCTAAGCATCGCCAGGTATGCCCCCCTCCCCAAAAAGTAATCACTACCTAGAAGAGGGGTTTCACATGGTAAGGGGGAGTCAAGAAAACTATTGATTGGAGTTTTGTTGTTGTTTTTGTGTCTGGGTAGGCCACACCTATCAGTGCTCAGAGTTTATTCTGGCTCGGTGCTCAGGGATCACTCCTGGCAGGACTTGGGAACCCTATGTGGCCCCTGAGTCAACTGCATGCAGAACAAGTACCCTAATCCCTGTACTAGTTCTCCAACCTGAAAAATGTGGATTGGAAAACACCCTAGAAGGTCACCTTTTTTTTTTTTTTTGCTTTTTGGGGTCACACCTGGCAATGGACAGGGCTTACTCCTGGCTCTGCACTCAGGAATTACCCCTAGCGGTGCTCAGGGGACCATATGGGATGCTGGGAATCGAACTCAGGTCGGATCTATGTGCAAGGCAAATGCCCTGCCAGATGTGCTATCACTCCAGCCCCCCAGAAGGTCACCTTTGAGTAGTTAGAAGGTCATGCTGAGAAGCCCCATTCCAGGAACAGGAAATCTGCAGTGGGCCGTGGGGAGGGCAAAGCGATGTCAACCTGGGACCCTCCTAGCATGCACAGAATACCATTGACTGTCTGGGATTTGCAAATTCCTCCTAATCATTAATTCAAACTCCCCCCCCCTTACCGCCCCACCCCCATTGCCCCTTCAGCACACATCAGTCTCAGAGGATGTCCTAGACTTGCCTTTTAAAGAACTGCTGTGGGGCTGAAGCGATAGCACAGCGGGTAGGGCGTTTGCCTTGCACGCGGCCGACCCAGGTTCAATTCCCAGCATCCCATATGGTCCCCCCAGCACCTCCAGGAGTAATTACTGAGTGCATGAGCCAGGAGTAACCACTGTGCCTCACCGGGTGTGACCCAAAAAATAAAAAAAAAAAAAAAGAACTATTGGGAGGTGGGGCTCTCCACTCTCACCTCCAGAGATTCTCTCCACTCCACACCAGCCTGCCCTCTAGTCTGAGAGCAAGCACTTTGTCCAGGAACATTCTCCCCACCCCACCCCCACCCTGCTGTGTTAGAGTCACCTTTGCTTTTGTCTTAAGGAATATCACACCATCTCTTCTTTCTTCCTTCTTTTTTTGGGGGAGGCACCCCATCAGACTACCGGAGTCACCCCTGGCATGAAAGACTATGTGCGTACTTAGAATTTAAGTAGGATTGGCCACATAAAGATAAGCACCTTACCTTCTGTACTGTTTCTCTTGCTCTTCCCTCTATTTTAACTTTCCCAGACTCCTTTTTTGTCTTCTTTGTTAACCGCAGTACTCCGGGGTTACTCCTGGCTTTGCAGTCAAGAATTACTCCTAGCGGGGGCTGGAGCAATAGCACAGCGGGTAGGGTGTTTGCCTTGCACGCGGCTGACTGAGGTTCGATTCCCAGCATTCCATATGGTCCCCTGAGCACCGCCATGGATAATTCCTGAGTGCAGAGCCAGGAGTAACCCCTGTGCATTGCCGGGTGTGACCCCCCAAAAAAAGCAAAAAAAAAAAAAGAATTACTCCTAGCAGTATTCAGGGGATCATATGGGTTGTCGGGGATCCAACCCAGGTTGGCCGTGTGCAAGGTAAGTGCCCCACCCGCTGTGCTATTACTCTTCCCTCCTAGACTCCTACACACATAAGTGCAGAGTAAGTCTACTCTAAAATTAGCCTTCCTTGAGAGAGTGGAGAGAGAGCACACGGGTGCACATGCACGGCGGGAGGGGGGTGGAGAGAGAAAGAGAGAGAGAGAGAGGAATT